CATGCCATTTATTGGATCAATTATTTATTCTACTAGGTCAAATCAAGATAACGATCACAGCAGAAGGTGCCGACGACCCGAACGCTACCGGCAGAACATCGATTAAAGTGAACGGAGTCGAACGATCACCGCTACAACGAGGGCACAACGTTGTTATCCTTGACAACGCAGGCAATTTCGTAATGGCAACACATTTCGATACTGCGGACTCGTCTAAAGGCGAAGGGGTTAAAATGGCACGATTTATTGAAAACCTTCCTCAAGAGCGAATGGTGTTGATGGCTACTCAAGGAACGACTGGTGAGTGAAAATAACCTTAGAATGAAGGTTATACCGACGTGGGTTGAAGTAGTATTTTACCACAATAATAGACAGGTTTAGCATGACGTTCACGGCAAACGCCAAACGGCAGAAAAGATCACGTGATCTGCTTTTTTGGAGTTTAATATTGCAGTTTCAACGCGAGAGCGGGTTATTTTGAGGTTGCCATAATCGTGAAAAGCCGCTCTTTCAAATGACTACCAAAAGAACAAGGTCGGGCACGAAATTCTTAAGTCATTGGTTCAGCTCTGCCGTTAGCCGTTTGCCGTTAACGTGATGCTTCAACTCTCTAATATATATTTCACCCCATCCTGCTCCCAGTCTGGCCTTGTATCTCAGCTAGTAGAGCATCGGAAGTACAAATCCGAAGGTCGTGGGTTCGAATCCCAGCGAGGTCGGAAATTAATTTTTCCGAATTTATTCCTAAGGGTCTTTCTCCCGGAATAGACCTCTGCAGCTTTTACGTCATGTACCGTATACGCAATGCATTGTAGGATATGTTTGGGACAAAACATGGCGGATTTCKTTTGTTTTCTCTTGAAACTGATCCCACAATGCATTGMAAATCAAGTAGTGACGTAAAAGGTTCAGAAGTCTATTGCCTCTTTCTAAGCACTATAACTTTCTTTCATTTCTATATCGTTTCTATCACAGTGCCATGTGGTCCTCATATTCATACTTTTACCACGATAGCTGATTTCCAAATTTCACCTCACTAACTAGTCAAACACAAAAGAATTCAAGACGAGGCGCTGTAAAGCTCAGTCAATGTCGTGAAAAACTTTTGTTTTTTCATGAATGACTGAGCTTTTGCACGGTGCCTTGTCTTGATTCATTTGGCTACTTGGCTATTGTAGATTTTCTCGATTTCTTTTTGGTTGAGAGCCGTCATGCTAGCCAAAAAAAAAGAATATCATAAGAAAGAGGCTAATATACATGTATTTTATCTAACAATAATCAACGTGCTTTTTCAGGTACTGCTGTCAATGACGCTAAAGGAGCGCTCCAAAATCTCGGTGTCACCGGCAACCCTCACCCAGGATTCCATGCGTCATGGGCGTTTGTTGGTTACACAGGTCCCGAGAAAGTTAAATGGGCGAAAACAGTCACGCAACCACGTTACAAGGGACCTGCTATCATCAATGAAATGATCACAACACCTCAAGCCGACCTTGAACTCAGTAAGTGTGCAACCAATTAATGAAATCCTTTTTTTAAAAAAAGCAGCTCATTTTTCAGAATTTATTKATTTATTCATATTTGTTATTCATTCATATATTTACCAATATCAATTTGTTTTCAGGTCAATTACAAGAGCCAGAGGTTGTTTTATCCGATTACGATCCAGTCTCAGACTACGAAGCAGCGCCGTACTCAGAGTTCGATGATACGGAGGAAGATAACACAAAAAGCTTATCAAAGAAAAGCACACGAGTATGTATAGAGAATAACATAATGATAACAATGATTAGCTATCTGACAAGGTATATTGGACTCGATCTACGTCACATTATGGTTCTCTGACAGTCAGAGAAATGTTTCGAGTCTAATTATTTGATTATAATTCATTTAAGTTCTATAGTTATTATTTAATTTAATCTTTAATTATTATTTGGTTAATCATTTCGAGTCTAATTGGACAGTGTAGAGTCTTATTACCTTCTTTAATTATATATCCATATAATATTCCTAACTGCCCAGTCACGAAATAAACAGATACCTATCTAGGATTAATAAGAGGATATATAATTAGGTATAGTAAAATAGCAAATATTCCATTTTACAGTTCCAAGTGTCATCTTAAAAGGAAATCGAGCCTTTTCACCAAAGCGAGACAGAAATTGAGCTTGTAATGATAGATACCTGTGAAAAATTGTTTTGGGTTTGAACAAAAGGTATCTATCACTTCAGGCTCAACTCCTGTTTCAATTTGATGCAAAGGCTATGTTAATTTTCAAGATGGCGTTTGGAACTGTAAAATAGAGTATTGCAAGCGAATGTCAGAGTTCACTAGTTTAGTCGCATCATTCTGATGATCTAGGACAATAATTGAATTGGGTGTTATCTTAATAGTAATTTCTCATTTATTTGTTCTTTTCCAGTCCTTATTCCGCGCTCTTCCCGAAGCCGAGAGAGTCAAGATTGCTGAACTAGCCGAAGGTCTCAAGGCAGAGAAGTTTGCTCTCGAAAGAGAGCTRACAAAATGGGATGAGGCTGGCAATGAAATCATCGTTCTTGCTAAGAAAATGTGTATGATGATGATGGAGATGTCTGACTTCACGAGGTAACATCGCCATGCTATAATTATAAACTAGGCAGTGCTCAGATTTTTGAAGCTTCCATTATGGTCGTTGTATAGTACATATTTTTGACAGAAAGCAGTTCTTTGGGCAGTGGGGTCAATACTTTCTTTTATTGCTCATACTCGGAAATGGAGCGAGGGGCATGATGCAAGTTTTCTAATTGCAAACCAGGGTACAGTCAGACTTGCCAGAACATTTTAAATATGTCCTTAAGTGTGTTTCTGTAACATGGTATCGATGTATAATTTTTAGGGGAACCGGTCCACTGAAGACAACTATGGATGTTATTGAAGCAGCCAAGGTACGTTTGCTTCACACCCTTCGTTCAGAAAATCTTCCAGTTTGTTGTGCTGCTGTGCACTATTGCACTATTTAATAGCATATAAGAGATTGCATCGCTATAGGGATTTAACTGCAATTCCTTCCGTGTGCGTACAGCAAATGGATCTTATTAATTTCTTAGAGTGCTTTTGTGCTGTCATTTCTCAATTCATTTTCCTACCAAAAGGCCAGGTGGCAACGGGAGGATCAGTGATTTCTGGGTTTAAGCGGCCTAAAAATTATTAAAATTACCTAAATGCCATCCCAATGAAGAAGAAACGTGCGCTCTGTCCGCTGCTGGTTAAGTAATTTCTTTAACGTCAAACGCTGTCTTTTTCTCAACCCTAGCTTGTGTTATGGCCTTTCTTAGCTTGCGCTGCCATTGCGTGCAAATGCTAGGGCATGAGGAATTGCATCACCAAAGGCGTTTGTTCACCCGCGCCGTGTGAAATAGGCTCTGACGACTTAATTTAGGGACCTTGATTCTTTTGGAGCCATTTATCGTATGCAAGTCGTTAGTTTTACGTTTATCCCTCTCTTCAACTGAAATAGCAACATTCATTTAATTTGCATGCAATAGCTGTATATGGTGTTGACTGATAAATCCTTCTTTTAGAGAATCGCGAAAAGTGGAAACAAAATGCAGAAACTTGGAACGACTATTGCAGAACGAGTACGTATTTAAGTTGTGCAATCATTTCTTGGATATATAAATGTAATTMAATGGAAAACATGTCTATATAGGTTGAATTTAGACTCATAACGGCAGACTCAGATACATCGACCTAGACTATTGTGATTTTTTATTAGCRCCAGCTKTCGCCCTAAGYGGKCWTCTTCAGGGTTAACGTTGTCACCATGAAGATCCCYGCTTAGGGCGAAAGCTCGGGTAATAAAGTCAAAATASTCTMGGTTGATGTGTCTKAGYCTCCAATTATAGATGGAATTCATTCATCCATTTATACACGTTCATTCATTTATTGGCTGTTGGATTGATTCATCTGTTTGTTCATTTATCTCTGTTTCTGTGTTTAGTGCCCTGACTCCTCGTCCAAGAATGATCTGATGGCTTATATCCAGCGTATTGCTTTGTTTTCACATCAACTGACTATCACCAGTCGTGTAAAAGCCGATGTACAGATGATCAGCGGTGAACTTGTAGTCTCTGGGGTAAGTAAACATGCACCCATTCATCATGTGAAATATAGTCTGCGTACAAACAGTATTCGCAAGATCCTTGTATTATATGGGTTTAAAAACGGTGCTAGTCTTAAGTAAATAATAACAAAAATAATTGTTTACATCTAAAATATCAAATTCAAAAAATAAACAATCTGAACTCATTTAATTCAAGATTATATTGCTTTCAACAAAACCTGAAAATTTTGCAAACTCCTTTTTACATTTCGAGATATCGGCATTTCAAAACAACAAAATCTATAGAAAACATTCAGAGGTTGGCAACATTATTCCCACCACGGTCGTTCTTTTTAGAAAATCTTGCAAATTTGGCGCTTAATATCTCTTAAAATATTTAACCAATTGCCTTCACATTTTCAGCAATTGCTATCAGTATGAGATCTTTTCATTTATGGGCTTATCGGTAATATTAACTATAATGGTGGACTTGATTTTCTTGTGACTTGAAATTCGATTTCTGACTTTTATGCAAATTGGCCAAAAAGGTAAACATTGGCGCCCACCTATAACTAAAACTACGATTGTGTCCGGGTTAGAATCTGTGTGGCATAATAGACGCACGTAAAAATTCGCACAGYGAAACAATGGCTTCCAATATTGACTTCAATGACAGTGAAACTGATAGGGCTTTAGAGACGTGCAATAAAATTTGTTAATTACAACAAACTCGCGTTGTATTTCCCGCCAATGCGACGGTACGTCACTTAACGTGGTTCAATGTCAAATGAGCTTGCCTTTACGCACCTAATTAATCACTGCCTCAAAAATTTATCAGGCAAATAAAAAATCTTCCCAGTCGCGTATCRCCACAAAAGCTGGTGTTTATTTGGTGTATGTTTTCTATTTAGTATAATTTTCATTTCATTTTCAWTTTTTCGAAATGGTTATTCTAAGAAAAGCTTTCTTGGAAAGGCTCTATAATATACATAACTCTTTGAAAGATGAAAGATGACTCTACTGCAAATATAACTGCCAAGTATTGTTTTAATCTTCTAAATCTGCACAATAATTTAAGGACAGCTAGTATATCTTTTTGTTAAAGTTGATTTTGTCTGAAATTTATGGAATAAAGAATTATTATTATTTAAGTAAGATTAGCACTTCCATGTTTTCGTTGAAACTATTATATTGACCTTATAGTTGGACAGTGCGACATCACTAATCACGGCAGCCAAGAATTTGATGAATGCTGTCATCTTAACTGTGAAGGCTTCGTACGTTGCTTCGACTAAAGTAAGTCGCATATTCATTGGATTCCCTGTGTCGTAGACCCCCCGCTGAGCTTAATTCTCATTCAGAGAGCATCAGAACCGCATATAAACCAGGAAGATAACGTTCGCTCTACAGCAATTGCTTGTCTTGCTCCTCTACTTTGTAAATCTTTGATCTTAGTTTGAATCTGTTTGTTACTATATTCAATTTTGATTACGATCCTATAATGTCTTATGCCGTATCTTTTATTGACTCTAATGACTGTTTCTTGTTTTAAACAGCATAAATCGGGAAGCGTTAAGGTATGTTAGAAGACTTTAATTAGTAGTTGATATTCCATGTATGTCAATCAAACACAGAGCTGCTTTCAATTTCCTTGAAGCAATTGAGCATTCTTTCATGAAGTAATAACCACTTATACCCATCATTTAGGCTCCAGTAGTCACTTGGCGCATGCGTGCTCCCGACAAGAAACCGCTGGTTAATCTCGACAGTGAGGCAGAACGGGTAACCACCCTCCAGAGAGCCGAACGAGTTCGACAGGAGTCGCCCATCCAAGCACTTAGCGAATTCGACACCTCTGAACAAAAGCGACATCCGGATTTCTACTAATCGACTAAACCCCCTGCCTTACAACGCTTGGTAAACTGCTATTACTAGAATCAGACAGCAGAAAAATCTATATTTCTATTTTTAACAAATTAAAAAGCACAATTGTAGATAAAATGGTGAAAGTAATTTTAAAACGTGCACTTGTTGAATGATTTCTAATAAACCGTGATTTCGCAACCGAGCGCAGCGTGATTTTGTGGTATTCTTAAATACAAATCCGAGTTTTATCCCGAGTGTAAGGCATCCTGACGGAGTGATTAAAAACATACTCAGTCTAGGACTGCATGTGGCTAGTGCTACTACTACTCAAATAGAAATCGACGCAGCAAAATGTTAGTTTTATTATAAGTAATACCGTGGAACGAGGGAAATTAGTGATTAAATTTCCCCGAAATCGAGGGAAAATTTGTGGCGCCCGAGGGACTTTTACAAATTTTCCCGAGATATCGGGGAAATTTGATTATTAATTTCACGAGTGACATAGTATTACTTTGTAATACTTTGATCGCCGGGGAAGTATTTTAATACCACATCACTCTGAAAGCACCTGTGAAACACTGCCACAGCGGTCCGCGGTGCCGCAGTGCTCGCTATGACTGCTGGGTATTTTTTCCCTTAGACTTTTATAGAACGAGTAAATTCCTATTCAAACTAAGTCATTTGAATATTATAATTAATACCCTAGGGAATTGTAATTATGCAAATGAGTGTATGTAGGGTCAGGAAGTGGCTACACCAATCACTTCATTCAAAGGGCACAAGCAGTAGGATGGCTACCCACCCACGGGCACGGGTGGTCTACTGGTTAAGCTACTGGCCTCTCACCGCTGTGGTCCGGGTTCGATTCCCGGACACGGACCATATGTGAGTTTGAGTTTGTTTGATGTGTTGTTCTCTCCCTTGCCACGAGGGTTTTTCTCCGGGTCCTCCGGTTTTCCTCCCTCAGCAAAAATCAACATGTGAGGAGTGTTGTGTGCTAAAATACTTAATGTAGAGGTAGTGAGTGTGAGAGTACAGGGTCCGCAGTAATTGGCTCACGCTGTTGCGGTGTCCCTGCCCATACTAGGGG